CTGGCAAAAATATTGGTGATTTTTATAAAACGGTACTGTTGCCATGGCAATTGAAGCTTGTCATATTTTTTTAAATAATTTAAATTTGAAATGTTCTTAGGTTACTTAACCAATTGTTTGATTAATATATGTACACAATACTTCTAAAGTAAAATATGAGCAGCATGAGCATCCTCAAAATTTATAATTGGAAACTTAGAAAAATTTTGGAGGGTGCCCCAAACCCTATCTTGGATTTTTTTTTTTGTTTTTTTTTGACCACTCTAATGTACAGTCATATGAATTTCGCATTTACCTGATGCTATTATTATCTATGGCCTTTTGCCATTTTTCGTGTAGCTTCATAATTTCATCGTTGTAAAACTTCTCCGGTGTGTCGGCGTAAAACTTGGCTAAGTGATTTTCAGCGGCTCTTCGGTTGGCCAATATTTTATCATCTGTAGAGACCGAGTCAAATGGAAGTTAGACGGTACAAGGTACGGGCCACATAAATGCTGCATGTATTAAAACTTCCCAACAAAGTTCCGTCAAATTTTCCGAGTCATCAAAGTTGTGTATGGCCTGCCATGCTCAAGCCTTTTCTGTTTGTAAAATGTGCCTTAAAAAATTTCGATTAATCTATTATTTCTCAAAAATTGCAATTAATTTGTTTACGCTTGTGATGAATCATCTGACTAATTAATCGATTATTTAATTTTTTAGCCATCCTTAAGTGTAACATTCAAATAAAATTAATTAGTAAGTTGATTGAGCAGCCAGCTCTTAAAATGCGTTGGAGTAATTGAATCAAAATCTAAAAATTTACTGAGTTACCCACTACTACTACCCTTAAGGAGATATCACTCGTAGCTAAAATATGTATGTATGTATGTAGTTATACGAGTACATTTCACGCTTTCCTTTTAAGAGATAGCTATAAAGGCGGATATTTCCACTCTTCCGCTAATAAACAACTAAAAGTTGAAAATTGAATTAGTGCTTCAAAATATAAGCCATTATACATGTATGTACTCTGACAAAGTACAAATATTTACATAAATATTCGCATAAATTAAAAAAAAAAATAGTACATAAATTCTACTGATAGCATAATTTGTCAATGTCAATGTCGTACGCATTCGACCGCGCAAACATGTATGTATGTACATAGTACATTCACATATGTATGTGTATGTATGTACACTGAGAGAAATAATGCATAGTAAAAATGATTACTTTATATTTGATTATCGTTTAAAAATGTTCGTATTTAAAAATTATATTTTCGTACAAACATTTATTGACAGTTCAAATTTGAGCATGTATATGCAAGTGTACATACGCATCCCCAGCATGCAGTGCGCCCTGACGGAAACAAGTGATTTTTTTTTTTCATCAACTAATTGAAAGACTACTTTAAAACAAATGCAATGAGTAAATGTTTCGATGTTTGATACTGATTTTGCTAAAACAAAAAACAATTTGTGTCTTGGAAGTATGAAAAAGCATCTGTGAAGTGCAGAACGAAAGCATATTCAAACGAAACATACTAACTTTGAAGTTGTTTAAGCCAAATTCATTTTAAAGTAGTTCAAAATACATGCAGGAAAAGACAATTGACTGCTGCCTATAGTTATCATTGAAAATAAAGTAGTTTATAAATTACTTTCAAACTAATTCAATTTCCTGCTGGGCGGTGACAACGCACACATACATACGTAGTACATGTTTATCCGTACAAATCGTGTGCTGTGGTGTTAACGGAAATTCAACATTTGAAGGCATATTTACATGTATGGCTGTAGCTTAATGCCCAAAGATGCTTGCCACAATTTGTTGATATCCAGAGAGGCTTAGGGTTCGAATTCCATCGCAGGCAACATGAAAATTAAAAATCTTGTTTTTTTTTGTTTTATGTTGATTACTCACTTCACGGATGCTTTTTCAGAACGAACGCGATCATTTTAATATGCGCATAATTGAATTGAACATTTACCAATATACAGTACTTTCGTTGACGTTTATAGTTGGATCAATTACGTTTATATTTGATTTTAATATTTTTTCCCCTCAGTGTACGTGAGCATATATAAACACATGAAATTAGTATTTATGTACGTATATAGGCATGAACATTCAATTACTTCACTGGACCAGCGTTGCCGAATAGACGATTTCGTCGTCATTTTGACGTTATTTTTTATTTCAGTTTTTTCCTTAAATTCATATACAGTATATTTTGCTTAGCTGCACATCCTTCTTTGCACGAAAAACTTGTGCACTTATCCGAAAAAGGCACTTAAGCGAATTTTCTTTACTACTTCAATGAGGAAGGTATCCAAATCCCTATGAAACCAAATAATGGAGAAGCACTTACCACGTAGAAATTACTGCAAGCGAAATTTTTACCGAATAGTATCTAATTATCTATATAACTACATAAATTTATAGCCATTTTCGTTGTTCTGCGAGATGAACAAAATAAATAAAAAGTTGTAAAATTAGGTAATTGTAGGGCCAGTGCAGGTAAACTTAATACTTTCTTTGATAATTGATACTAGTCGCCCAATTTTTAAGGCAGGTATCGCCAATGTGCAGGTATGCTAAATGCATCTATCGGAGCAGTTTCCTTATAAATGTTAAAAATAGTGCCTCTGATACGCATTTTAGGGTAGGTATCTTAAATGTGCACTTAAGCATAGAGGCAGCAAAGCAAAATATACTGTATATGAATGTATGTACAATCATGTATTTATCTAGTTTTGTTCTATAACCGTTCTTTCACGTACATATTTATATTAAATTTGTACTAGACTTGTAACCAAATTGTAAATTTGCACTGCTGCCACTTATTTAAAAGAGACAGAATTATAGCAAAGAGAACTGTTTCCTGTTACTCTTTAACACTGGATCAAAATCTTTTAAAGTATCTTCAAACTAGTGCAACTCAACAATTTAAAAGCAGTTGTAATTCATTAAATTCTAATTTAAAATTGTTGTTAAATGAAATGAAATTACAAATCAACTTTTATTAACCCATATGGTCAAAATTTTGGGAACGAGGAACGAGTGAAAAAAATGTTTCTTTGACTCACCCGTCAACCCTTGAAATATTTTTTTTATATAAATCTTAAGGCATCCTGTGGTCTAAAGTTATGCGGCAACATACATAAAATATATATATGTATATACAAACGAATTGATAACCTCCTCCTTTTTTTGAAGTCGGCTAAAAAAAGCATAACAAAAAGAATTTGACGTTTTTGGCTGAAATTACGACTTTTTTGAGACAAATTGACGATTTTTCAGTGAAAGATTTTGCCAACGTTGCACTGGACTGATAATCGCCAGTGGAAAAAGTAGTAATGCATTACATGCGTGAGAAATAATGTAATGTATTTCTATTGCTGTTATATATATAATCACTACGGAATGGATTTTTAGGAACTAAAAACCTATAATAAAATGCAAAACAAAATAACGAAGTAGGCTAGAAAAGGTGAAATAGGCAGAGAAAGGCTCCAAAAAAGACAAAACAAGAAAAATAATCAAAAAATACATTTATGTATTTTAGAAATGTTTTTTTTTTTACAAGTAAAAAGAGAAACCTATGAACTAGTTTCATTATGTGAAAAATTTGTACTTTGAATCTTTGACCATTTTCTCCTTTCTACACTTAGCATGCATTACATTTTCCCGCTGGTTGCGTACATAAGTAAATATTTACGTACATATACATACATATATCTATGTACATATGCACCAGCAATTGCATGTTTACGGTGAAAATAAATTCCGTAGCAACGCAGATGGCTCTCTGAGGCATGCACTAAATACAAGTACATACAACAAATTATTCCTCACTATTTGCGTGCGGTACAAATTTTGCAATTCTAGCGCCGTAAAATATTGAAAGAGTTTATATTTCCCTGTATGTACTATACTTGCTACATTTACCTAACATTGTACAAGTGTGAAAATTAAGAACTTTAAAGCTTCAACGTACTCGTAGTACTGTCGAAATAGTTTGCACTAGGGTGGTCCAAAATATTTAAAGTCAGAATTTTATTGCTCTAACCCTCTGGCGTTGTTCTATACCAAAAAATGTTCCCCCTTTGTTAATAAAAAAATATTTAGAATTCGCTCAAGGCGCTCAAAGTTTTACATGTACTATTCATACATACATACATACATACATATGGATTTTATATGGAAAAAATGGAGTTTTTCGTAGAAACGGCTTAGAATTCTTGAAAATCAAAATTTTTCTAAATATCGAAAAAGTCTGTATGTATTTAGGAGACTCAATAATAATTCCCAATTGTTTATTTAACCATTTTTTAAAGTCTCCAAAAACACCCAAAAATTGCAAGGGGGCCTATAAAAATAATATGTATTAAAAAATGCAAGTCTCCTGCAGAGAAATAGAGTTTTAGGAATTCTATACTATTTCCACGAAATAATGCTTTTTTCGTTAAAAAATACATGGAACACTTTCAGCACTTTGAGCGAAATTTCAATATTTTTTTTTTTTTGATTTCCAAAAAAATTAATTTCCTCAAGTCCGCTTTAGTACTTACCCACCATATTACAGTTCCTACCACCCTAGCGTACCACCCTAATGTCAATAAATTTAAGCTGTCCAAAAATTAGCTGTTTTATTTCAGTAGAACTATTTAAAAAATGTTTTGCCGTCGAATGTGTGTCTCCCCGAAAAATGTAAAAAGGCAACGCCTAGGTTCGGCCAAAACAAATTTTTTTTGTTCGAAATTGCCTTGCAAAAATACTTTAGACTCAGACCTCAGAGACGCACAGCGAACATTTTTTTTTATTGTAAGATAGTACGGTCTAATGTACATAAATACTCGTACATATGTCTACACTTTTTTTTTTTGATAGCAAAGCTAAAATCTTTCAATTAACAAGGTGCAAATATAAACACAAGAATTTATACAATCTATTTTAAATTTATTTACTTACTCTATTCTTAAAAACGAATCTGTATATTTTTCTATTTACAGATTTCCATACAAACAGCACAACAGCATTCAATATAGGTAATCGGTTTATTCGCAATTAATCATCGTATAAATAATTCACTGTTATTTCGGCTGCAAATACAACATAAATTCACTCTTTAGCATCCACCAACTAGCAAATTAATATTATCTGCATAAATCATATACAAACATGGAGACTGAATCACTTAATCGGAAAAATTCCTCAAGGAAAAGTTCGGTAGTCAATGGTAATGGCGATGCGGCGGCTAAGGTGGCCGCCGAAAATGAAGGTGGCGGCGGTGGTGGTGGTGACGTAACGTTGAAGGCGAAAATGAGTTTAGTCAATGGTTGTACGGTGATCGTCGGTTCCATTATCGGCTCCGGTATCTTCGTTTCACCCACCGGTGTGCTCATGTATACAGGAAGCGTAAATTTGTCGCTAATCGTATGGATTATTTCCGGCCTTTTTTCTATGGTGAGTACTCGCGATGTGTGCTAGAAAAATATGGTATGAACTACCTACCATCTTCTCTCTTTTACTCTTTTATGAAATTATTTTATAATCCAATTGCCTAAGTTTATTGATATTGAGCAATTATTTAGCATCTGTGTCGGCTTTATACTTCGGTTGATACGTAGTCATTCACATGAAGACTCATTAGGAGAACTTGTGACATTTATTTAGTTTTCAAAGTGGGAAACACTTATTTCTATTTGAGGGTCAGTTCAACCAAAGATCACATCGAACAGGACCGCAATTTCTCGGCAGGCAATGACGTAAATTTTTGCACTGCTTGGAATAAATAAAATCACTTCTTCAGAAAGTTTTTTTCCATGTATCTAAAAAAGATCACGCAGAGTAGAAAATTCATTTATATATTAAATAATAAAATATACAGAAATAAAGTTAATAATATTAAGTAAAATTCCTCCAAAAGTGAAATCGCTTAGAGGCGGGGTTGGGCATGCAACTCAAAGTTGCTCGGAATGTTTGATATACACTCACTCACAAACCTAATACATAAATCAAAGTTTAACGGTGCGTTCACACAGAAAGCCGAGCGGCGCTGAGCGAAGTGTTCACACTGAACGAAGCGAAGCGAAGCTTTTCTCATGGACTCCGCTTATAAAATTCGTTTTTATTTGAAAACTTATATATCTTGTTTGCAGAAGCGTCATGAAGCTGAAAAATTAAATAGAAAATTCAAAATCAAAAACTGCATTGCTTTCAGCTCCAAAAGGCTTCTGAACAAACTTGCTGTATGAACACTTTCACATAGCTACAGTAATTTGAAAGCTTCTCTTCGCTCGGCTCGGCACAGCTTTCTGTGTGAACGTACCCTAAGACTTTGTAAAAAATGGGAAAAATATGGAAAAGTCTAATCAAAATTCCAACCCTTTAAATCATAGTTTAAACAAGGCCTGTCCAGGGCCTAGCAGACAATGGCCGACACTACCCGTATTATCACTTCCGCTTTCCAAAAATTGTCATAGTTGCCTACAGGAGTCTAAGAAAGAGAAAAAATGTCGCCGGCAATTCTGGCTCTGAAAATTTGGTGACAGGTAATAAGATCAACGGAAATAAGGTCAATTGACGATAACAAGTCTCCAATGGAGATGTTTTGCAACTTTATCGACGGCTGTAGTGCCACATAAGAAGAAGAAGTAGTAAGGTTTTTTACAGATATACCTATTGTCCATTTAAAAGGACACACCACCAGGGTGGAAATAAGGACAATTGACTTCGTACGTAACTTAATTTCCCTGGGGATCTCGTCCACATCGTCAAAATTACCAGGAGTTTCGGCTGCAACCACAAGTTGCGTGTCTGAAAATTGTTAACTGACACAAAATCTTCATCGCCAGAATCTTCGTCAATATAGCTCCCTCCATTTGTTAAGACGCACAATACAAATAGGAGGAGAAGCTAGGCCAAAATTCGAAAAAGTTTTAGCGCCAAAATTTTTATCATTATTATTAATTAATTAATTTGAAATTTTATCACAGGAGGCAATTCCTTTAAAAAATACTTTTGAAATGAGTCGTTTTGAGATCCCCTTCGTTCGACACCCCACATTGATTCAATATTTTCTTTAACTTGATAATTAATTGATTTGAACGCTTGAAAAATGTGGCAACTATTCAAGAGATATCCTGTATGTTGACCCAGGTTATAAGCTATCTGTTTACCAACTTTCATGGAAATGCACTCAGTTGTATTAGCGTTAAAGAGCAGTAAACATACTCACTCTCTCACTCAGAAACTATGTATGTGAAAGTTTGTAAAGTATTCAGCCTTATGCTGAGTTTCGCTCGAGAAAAAAATCACCCGAAAATTTTTCTTCCTCCCATAGTGAATACATGGAAACGAAAAGTGCAAAGTGAACCGGTTCGGGGAAAATTAAATTCATTATTATTACTGATTATTTTTACATGCTGCCAAAATTAGCTGCCATTCAAGGAATTATCTTGTATTAACCTCAAGTCTTTGATTAGTTTCATACTGTTTTAAACGCGCAAACGGCCCTCAAAACTGAATAAAAATGACAAAAGGAAAGAGTATCCATATTCTCGCAGGCTTAATGATATTTTTAAAATTCTCTTAAGAGAAACGCATGTCAAATGCAGTTTATGTCATTAAATATCCCTCCAAAAGCAGAAGCAGTCAATAGATTTGCCAGCGACCACGCATACTGCAGTAACTACGTACACACATAAATTAACCCAGTGGGGAAATAAGGTATGCCATTACCTTATTCAGACACGAAATGATTAACGATTACGACTGAACGAAACCATATGCACATCCCTAATCAGTGAATATCTAATGGGTTAATGGCGCATTTGAAACCAAACCAGCAAGGTGCAGTAGTCTGTACAATAAATAATCCCAGTTCTGCGCTAATCCGTAAACGAAAAACACTTGACTTGCAGATCCAATAACCGATTTTGACCTGACATTAAAGCAGTTAAATACTTATATCACAACTGACACAACATATTTCCTGAATTCAGGCATGCTTCATAGACACCACAGTGCCATTTATTGCATGGCTTTGCAAAAATTCGAATGCCCGCACCTCAGATTTGCATCTCTGCAGGCAGGTCCTTATGCGCTTGATCCTTCCTGATTCGCGAAAAAGGAAATATATTTATTAACTTTTATACAAAACTGATTAAAAAATGTTGAGTCGATGACATAATTGAATGGCTTTGGTATCACTAATTACGAATCTAAAGTCCGAATTTCAAATTTCAAAATGGCGGATGTATTTTTAAAATTTCCTTGCGTTCGCTTTAAACTTGTTACTCGAGGGATTTTGGGATCGCTGATTACGAATATGAAGTCCCATTTGCAACCTTTAAAATGACGGACCCAATATGGCGACCACAAAGGATTAAAATCACTTAGATTCGGTTAAAACTTAACAGTCGGGTGTTCTTAAGGTCGCTGATTGCAGATCTGGAATCATATTGGATCTACCATTTATCACGGGATAGTTAAAATCGAACGTACGTACATGGCGTATGAGTAACATTCTCTTCTCCACTGAGTAACTCATACGCCATGTACCTACCATAGATAACTAGATCTGAAGGCTGTGTTATGCATACTTGGCATTGCTTGAGAGTTGTCACATAACGCACACCATTACATACATAGAAGTCTGTTGGTTTTTGATTTCTACGTAAAAATGGTATAGCAGTGCATGCACTGCCTAGTATGCATAACAGAGGCTTGAGACTTTTTTCTCGTGAGAGCGCTCTCAAAGTTTGCATTTTTATAAAATTTTCCAGTTGCTCTTCTTTATTCTAATTCTTTAGAATTTAAAAATATAAATTTTTTTTTGTAATCACAAAGACGAATTGATATTGAAAATGCCCTTTTAAATATTTTTAGTTTTTTACGCTATTAAAGTAGAAGGACGAAAGTTGAGGATATGGTCGTGTGTATATTAATCCTTAACATATATTTTTTTTTTTCAAAAATAAATATTGCAAATTCGCAAGGGTACTCAAGGACAAAATTTTAAAAGGGAATTTTCAATACCTATTCGTTCCTATGCACCAAACATTTAATATTTTTCAATTCTACAGAATTTTATCTTTTCCTTTGGTACCCATATCGTTATTCTATATAGCACTGAATTTTTTAATTAAATTTTAGAACTAATCCAATCTTTAAAAAAATCCTGATGCCAGAGAAAGAAACTAAACCCAGTTTTACTAAATTTGGCACCTAGTTTTGGGAGCATCTATGTATGTATATATTTTTTTTTCAAAATTTCCGTTGCTCGGTGTAATCCATGTTATAATTAACTTGAATTTTTTGAATCACTTATGCCATTTTCATAATAAACGGCTCATATATACATATGTACCAGTCAATGAGCTAGGACGACTGGGTACGTAACAGCAGTTACTTAATGAAATGTAATATTTTTTACTAGTAGGTTTTATCTGCAGGATAATTTAAGTGATACATACACACGGCGCTTTTATGTGATAAATGACTGCATTTGACATTCGCAGTAATGAAAGTATTCCAGAGAATTCCGTAATACAATAAAAAAAAACGTAATAAATAGCATTGACAGACAATTATGAACTCGCCGATATTTTATTCGTTTTTATGCTTATGTACATTGGTACATAGGTAATCATATTTGACCCAAATCGGTAACGAAATCATCTATTTAATTCAACCCACAATATTGTCTTGAGTTACTGCTATATATATGTATATACCTACATGCATTATCCTATTTTACTGTGTGTATATAAAAATGTACATAAAAAGCTTAAGTATATACACTGCCGGCAAAAAGTATTGGCACAGCGAATTTTTTCACAATACATGCACCAATTTCTATTCTAATTTTTTTATAAAAATATGGTTAATTCTACAACAAAGGACATAAATATATGATTTCTAAACTTTGTGGAAAACTCCGAAAAATTCAATAAATTTTCATGAAAACTTTCAACTTTTTAATCAGATTTTTTAGTATTTTCTTGAGTATGCAGTTTTGTAGCCCATTAAATTTTAGTAAAAAAAATGCAAGTTCGTCAAAAAACGCATTGCTTTTTGAGAATTTTTTTTTTGTGTTGAAGGTGTTTTGCACTTTTTCTATATAAAAAAATGTTATGTATGGAAGAGACTGTGTGAAAAAAAAATCGCCAAAAATCAACGGCAATTCCTGGCTATTTAAAACATGTACTTTATTATATATAAATTTATTGGGCTACAAACCTGCATACTAAAAAAAATTCAAAAAAAAATTTTAATAAAAAATTTAACTTGTACTTTATTATATAAAAATCGATTGGTTTATAAATCTGCATACTCAAAAAAATTCTAAAAAATCTGAATAAAAAGTTAAACTTGCACTTTATTATATAAAAATCGATTGGATTATAAATCTGCATACTCAAAAAATTTCTAAAAATTTTTCTATGTTCGTAAGTTTTCCACGAAGTTTAAGAATTATATTTTTATGATTTTCGTTGCATAATCAGACATATTTTTATAAAAAATTAGCGATAAAATATTGGAATAGAAACTGGTGCATAATTGTCAAAAATTTGCTGTTCCAATACTTTTTGCCGGCAGTGTACATATTCTGGATGGAAAATTAAGAATTTTGTGGCACAATTCTTCCAATAACTATTTGGCATTTCTTCGCATCTGCTTTCAACGTGACGGCATAGAAACGGCACGATTGCTCGACGAATATGATGAGACTTGACGAAAACCCAATCAAGATAAATGTATCTTATTCCCTATAACATTATTCCAGCGCTATACTGGAATGAAGTCAATGATGTTAAGATAAAAGCTGTTGAAATTTTGTAAATAGGCTAAATTTTCTGCGATACAAGTGCGGAGATTCTTTAACGAGTTAGCGTCAATTTTCAAATCACTATCAGCGTTGCCGTTTTGGTAATTTTTTCTTGCTTTATAATTTATTCTTCTTTGATAATTTATTTTTCAGTTTGGTAACATTTTTGGTTAAGTGTTATCTCTTTGTTAAGTGCGGCAAGGCAGAAATCGCTGGCAGCAGAGATCTGAGCAGTTGTATGTTTTCAATGCCGCAGGAAAGTATGTCACTAATTACCTTTGTTGAAGAAATTCTATAATGTTGAGTTCCCTGAGGCCGAATGCTTTAATTTTCTCTTGCTTTGGTTTTCTCTTGGGTAACATGCTCTGGTCTTCCAGGCTGTGGTATTCACATTCTTCAAGGCCATGGACTAAGTGGTGGAAAAAAGTTCGACAATGCAAGTCTCGATTAAATTATGTTGGTTAACATAGCGAGCTTGCTTTACTCTGGTTTCCAGGTCACTCGGGACTACTCAAACCAGGCATGCCTCAGTCCGCAACTAGTTATGTATATCACTACCACCTTCGCCATCGAAGCAATCATCAGAAACTGGGTGAACACTTCGCTCAGAAATGACTAGGAGGCATGGAGGGGTAAAACTGATGTCGCCTTCGATGTCATAAGGTCTAGCTCGTTTTTTGCTCCAAGTCAGATTTTATCATGCCCTCCAGATAGCCTGCGACCTAAATAATGATTTTTATATTCGCTCCGAAGTACTGGTCTGGTATTCTGTTCGTCCAGAAATTGTTGATGATGTTGTTATCCAAGTAGATATCTCTATGTACACGTCCAACCTTCTTTAGGAAGGAGAGGGAAGGCGATAAGCCCTTTTTTCCATTCATAGGGGGCGGCCGCTGTGGTGTAGTGGTAAGCAATGCACGCTACCATTCCGCGCGGTCTGGGCACAGTTTCCGAACAACATCAAAAATTAAAAATTAAAAGTTGTTTCTAATAGCGGAAGCCCCAAGGCAGGCAATGGCAAACCCCCGAATGTATCTTTGCAATGAGAAACAGCTTCTCATAAACATACAACCACCTGCGCCAGAGTACTAACGGCAGCGCGTTTCTCTGTGGGGTATAAAGTAAATTATTAAATTTAGTTGCATATATATATATATCATTAGTAAAATATGGAGCGGGCGTATCTTACATCGACGCTGAAATGCAAAAAGCCATAACTAACTAAAAATTGTATCGCATAAAACGATGTGGGGACTTATAATTCGATGAAATGCATTACGATTAACCAAAAAGTGAATTTGGAATTTTTAGCCAGTTACGGCTTTTTGTATTTCAGCGACGATGTGAGTTATGCCCTTTCCATACTATACAAATGATATGTATGCAATTAAATTTAATAATTTACTTGATACCCCACAGAGAGACGTGCTGTGGATAGTACTCTGGCTGCTGGTGGTCAGCAAGATTACCTTTTCTATACTATATTAACGATATGTACACACTTCAAATGCTTTTCAAGTTTAACAATAGATATTTTTAACGCTTTCAATTGCTTTGTCATATCTTTAATAGGTTGGCGCCTACTGCTATGCCGAGCTGGGTACAATGATTACCAAATCTGGTGCGGATTATGCCTACATTATGGAAACGTTTGGTCCCTTTATGGCCTTCATACGTCTCTGGATCGAATGTATGATTGTGCGGCCATGCTCACAGGCAATTGTAGCGCTCACCTTCAGCGTATATGTGCTGAAGCCTTTCTTTCCGGATTGTCAACCACCAGATGATTCGGCGCGCATGTTGGCAGTCTGTTGTATCTGTAAGTATAGCCATACATATATACATACGTATGCATATATACACACATGTATTCGTGTAAAGCAATATAATGTGTTTAAATATATATATATACATTAGGGTGCCCATCGAAAAAATTTTGTATCTAATTATGATGAATATTATTGCCAATTTTTATAAATTTTTTTCAAATCATTAAGAGGTTGCGGCTTGTCATTTTACGTCAGTATATACGGTTTTGTA